TTAATCACACCATATATAACATGTGCCATCAAAAGCTGGCTTTATTTGACAATGAAAATGCAATTATTGTCATTAAAACAAATTTAAGAAATTTAAGAATAGCATGTTTGTCAAAATCCCATCATAAATATACAAAGACACATACGTATGCAGTATTAACTAACATGCATGCATGTAAGCACCAGATAATAACCTTACCGTTAACTGTGCTTGCTTACTGGGAGACACTGATTATCATCTTAGTTCTTCACAACGAATATGTGTTGTAAGGAAAACCTGTGGAGATTTTCTTTGAAGAACTGTCTCTAAATTGCCAACTGCGCAAGCGACCTTGCTATTCGAAGTGTTTCCTTGGGGGCAGCCACAGAAGCACCTCCCAGGAAGTTAGAAAGGAGGGTTCTCCAGACCCGCCCACCCTAGTGCATTGGAATCTGCAGTCACAATGTCTGTAGGTGATTGTGACTACATTAAGTTCTGGAAGCTCTGGGTGAGGAGAGACCGCCTCCCTCCGCGGGTCTCAGGGTCTTCGCTACTCGAAAGGCTTGTGACCAGGTATCTGCATGGCCTCTCCCAGCTCAACTTTCTAATCATTCCTTGAAGTAAGGCAGCCGAGGAGACCGAAGCATGAGCGAGGCCCGCTGGAACAGGTGCGCTGCCCACAGCCAGACGCGGGAGGACTCCGAAGCAGCCTCGCGCAGCCGCTTAGGAGGGGGGTCCTGGAATGCGCGGAGGCCGCGTGGGAGGCCACGCGAGGGCGGGAGCGTGCCCGCGCTCTACGCGAAGAGCGACGGCCCCGGGGCAGTAATACCGGTAGGTAAGGGAATGGGGAAGAAAAGAACCAGCAAAATATACCATGTACAGGTACAAATTCCCTGTGATGAATGTGATCACTATGTTCATCTAAAATGTACCAATAAAAATAATTCCGGTCGGGCGGCAGGGGGCGGTGCAAGGTGCTGTTGGCTGATGACGCCGCCACGCAGCAGGGGTGCAGGGTGCGGGATCCAGGAATTCAGGGTGCAGAGTGCAGGAGTGCAGGAGTGCAGGAGTGCAGGGTGCAGGGTGCAGGAGTGCAGGGTGCAGGGTGCAGGGTGCAGGAATGCGGGGTGCAGGAGTGCTGGGTGCAGGGCGCAGGGTGCAGGAGTGCAGGGTGCAGGGTGCAAGAATGCGGGGTGCAGGAATGCGGGGTGCAGGAGTACAGGGTGCAGGGTGCAGGAGTGCAGGGTGCAGGAGTGCAGGGTGCAGGGTACAGGAGTGCAGGGTGCAGGGTACAGGAGTGCAGGGTACAGGAGTGCAGGAGTGCAGGGTGCAGGGTGCAGGGT